GAAATTGCTATTACGAAATGATGATGAAAAGAACTAGATATTTTCATCAAACATTTCTTTATTCTATTATTTATAATTGTTCGAACAAGATAGGCGACACACGAAAAGTGCCGTCCACGAATAATATGTCCGAATGAAAGAGAACATCCAATTGTTCCGGCGAAGCGAACATCATTAAACGTCCACCATATTGACTTTTTCGTTTATCATAAATCAAGAAACGTTCTTTGGAATATGTTTCTAAATAAACAGGTGGTACAACAAATTTTTGATCATGTGGTACAGGTGGTAATGCTCTACGACGGGTTTTATGAAGGCCAGATTCTAATAAAAATTAAAAAAATTAGAAAAATAAGCTAATTCTAATGAAAATAAACTATTTTTAACTACCAATTTGCGATGGAAGGTGTGTGTACATTTTCTTCTCTTTTCAGTTAGTTCTCTGTATTGCCAAATGAGAGAAAAATAATATACGAGAAAGAGAGAAAGAAAAGAAAATGTGATAGAAAAAGATATATGTCAAATATATGTCAGTGAAGACGATGAAATGGCTATTACGAAATGATGATGAAAAGAAATAGATATTTTCATCAAACATTTCTTTATTATATTATTTATAATTGAAAATTGGCATACCTTTTATCTTTCTTTTCCATTATTGTAGCTGTACCAGTCTGTTTTATTTTTACTTCTAATCGACGACATGAAACGTATGAAGCTATTTTGCGTTGCTTACGAAGGATTGGATCGAAGAAAGGAATTGTCTTGAAACCGACAAGTATCATTTATGATTTTGAGAGAGCTTTCATGAAAGCTGTTGTAAAACAAGTAAATGATCTTCTCTCTTGTCAGTATATATTACTGATGAATTTTTTGTTTTTGTAATTTAGCTACCAGAAACACTCGTTACCGGATGCTGGTTTCATTTTTGCCAGTCTTGCTATCTGAATATTCAACAACTTGGCTTAATGAAGGTTTATGATACTGATGCTGAAGCACGACATTTATTACGTGCTTTCATGGGTTTGGCCTTATTACCAATGAATCTTATTCGTGATGGTTTTATAGTGTTAAAGAAAAAAGTCAAAGCTTCTTGTCATCGAGATCAATTAGAAGTGTTCGTATTGTACTTTAAAAGCGAATGGATTGACCATTTTAAACCTTCGATGTGGTGTGTCAGTAACAGCAGATGGAGAACAAACAATTTCGCTGAAGGTAGAATGAAACTTCACTATCAACTTCATAGAAATTGTGCTGAATGATTTTTCTATTTGATTGTTCATTTCAGCCCAAAACAGAAATTTTTTCTCACGTGTTGTACAGCCACATCCAAATCTGTGGCGATTTATACAATGCTTGAAAGAAGAGGAGAGTGTTGTGTCTCATAGAATGGTTCAAACTGGTTTAGGTTTTTCTTCAACTAGACCATCAAAATCAACACGTGCGGCAGCACGTAAAACTAAATA